CCGACCCCAAAACAAAGAACATTTGGGCATCCACTGGAAGTTGGCCTTTACCCTCCAGCAGCATTTTAATTATAATCATGATTTCTGATGTGTTAGTCTGACTTCCTAGAAGTTGCTCTTCCATGTTGATCAGGGCAAAAGCAGACCTACGCAGTTTAGTTGAAATAAAGCAAAAATATTTAAGTTGTAAAATCAAATGTTGCTAGGCCTTCTGTGGAACCGACCCATCTTCCCCAAAGAAAGTGGCTATGGTGAGAGTCTATGAGCAACTTGGATTTGAGTTGCAGGTCATGTGATCCACTCTTTTACTGAAACTTGCTTCCACATGAAAGAAATCTATGTAGATTGCCTTAAAAGGAGACCTGCTGGTGTGCAGTTCTGCTCAAACTGGAAATAAAGTAATTTTATGCATAATTTGGTCTGTTTAGAATAGCTCTATCTACTTTTTTATTCTAATAAAGTTGTTTGCAAAGAATGAGGTTCTTATCTTTTTTTCCCTGAATGTGCAGAGAGTCCCTCTAGATGGAAATGGAAGGACAGAAAAGATAATTTGCTCTATGCATTGGAGTGCAATTGTTGTCTTCAGAAGCAGTGTGCTACTAACACCTCTTTCCTTTTCTAACAAGGAAACAGAGGGAGAGTGCATGTATGAAACACTTAGCAGCAGGAAATGCCACTCAAGGCTTAAGTGAGAGATACAGACTTTAAAAGACTAAGTAGGACACACTGGTCTGTTTGAAACCCTTCTGATCTAATTGCCTAAGAGAAGAGCTTGTTTAAACCCCACTCAGATGCATTCAATGAATTGAGTGTGTTTTGTATCTTGCAGGGGTGAAGTAGGGGAAAGGAACACAGTCTAAATGCATAAGTAACTTGTTTCAGTGTACAGGGTCCTGCTTCAGGGTGGCCTGGCACAAAGATGCATACCTAAGCAAATCTGTTCCCTCCTCTGCCATACCAACCACAGTTTCCTCTCCTGCCTGTCCTTCCCTCCTTTACCTGTTTCACTGTAGAAGGCTAGTAGTTCAATGGTGGCTTCCAGAGCTTGGGCAGAGGGTGGCAGTGTTGTGGGCTAAGTCTTGGTGCACAAGGAGAGGCCATATCCAGCCAAAAGGGTCATAGCTAATGTATCTGTCAGTTAAGCACAGCATTTCATGTGCCTTTTATAGAGCCCTGTTTGAAACCATCAGAAACAGCTATCCATCTTGCCCAGAGGGCAACGGTGCCAGCACCACCTTACTTCCGGAGCATGACATCAGCCTGATGTACACATAATTCCTCCCTGTGACTGCTGGGGTGCTAACTCCCTGCTCTAGATGGCAGACATAATAACTTTGATTTAATGTGGCTAATAGAAACCTGGTGGGACCCTACCCATGACTGGGTGGTACATATTGAGGGCTACAGGTTGTACAGAAGGGACGCAGTAGGGAGGAAAGGAGGCGGGGTTGCTCTCTATGTAAAGAAGCATTATACATCTACCCTAATCAAAATGGGACTAGAGGAGGAGCAAGTTGAGGCATTGTAGGTTAGGATACATGGAGGTTGAGGGGAAAGGGACTTGGTGTGTGTTGGTGGGGTCTGCTACAGATCACCACACCAGGAGGAAAAGCTAGACTTGGGATTCTTGAGGTGGCTCTCAGAGGCCGTACAGTCTAGGGACGTGGTTGTCATGGGTGACCTAAACTACCCCAACATCTGCTGGGAGGAGCAGTCAGCCAAATCCAATCATTCACGTAGGTTCCTAACCTGTGTGCAGGACCTTCACCTAATGCAGAAGGTATATAGTCCCACTAGGGAAAATGCCTTACTGGACTTGGTGTTGGCTACCGGAAGGACCTGGTAGGACCTTGGGGACAGTGACCACCAATCAATCGAATTCACCATCCGGCATAGGGTGGATAAGATAACTAGTAGGGTGGAAGTGCTTGACTTTATGAAGGCTAACTTCAGTGTGCTCAGGAGTGTAGTCAATGACGCATTGCAGGATAGAAGTCTTGGTGAGATGGGAGTCCAGGAAGGGTGGTTATTCCTAAAGGAGGCAATCCTTTGGGTGCAGAGGGAGACAATCCCAGTACGAGAGAAAAGAGGGAAAGAAGACAAAAAACTTCCTTGGCTAAACAGGGAAATCCAGGGGAGCCTAAGGGCAAAAAAGAAGGCATCTAGGCAGTGGAAGCAGGGGGAAGCTACCAAGGAGGAGTGTATCTATTTGGCCCGCACTTGCAGGGGGGCAGTTAGAAAGGCCAAAGCAACTACAGAGCTAGGGCTGGCAACACAAATTAAAGACAACAGAAAGTATATTTTTAGGTATGTAGGGAGTAAAAGGAAGGCGCAGGCCAGCATAGGACTCCTACTAATCATCTATGAATCTATGAATTCTTTCTTAAGTAACGTCATGTTGCTGTATGCTGTTAACATCACATCCTACACCACTCTACTTGACAATGCCCACTATGACATTTTGTTTAATTCTTTCTCTGATGGGTTAAACTAAATTTATTACTATGGTTATTCTTTTCTCTTAGCTTTACAGTTCAGGTCAATGCATTTTAATTTTTTACACTTTATTTTGCAACTTACTGCATTAGGTACATGCCTGGAATTTACAAAGGAGGCAAGCACAAAACCCCTTTGACTTTCTACTGATTTAAGACGGCATATAGTATTTAAAACAAAAGCTTTTAGTATTATTACACAATGAGATTTAGTTATGTGATCATTATGCAGTTACTTTATATTGCTCATTGTAAAGCTCCAATTAAAGATACAGGCAGTCCTCAGATTTACAACACAATTGGTTCCTGAAAACCACGTCTTAAGTCAAAACGTTATAACTTGGAACTGATTTTCCCATAGGAAACAATGTTATAAATGGGAGATTTGTTTCTGAACCAAGGCCTGATACCCTATTTTCACCAAAAATAACCCAGAATTTTGTACTCAATCAATTATAGATGAGTAATATAGCTACATTAATGTATTTATATTGTAACTAGCAATCATATTGATTTGGAAGGACTTCTTCGAGGTGACTTTGCTGGACTTTTTGAAGGTTCTTGGCTGGGGTCTTCTCAGGAGTCTTGGCTGCAGGTTTTTCTGGAGTCTTGTCTGCTTTCTTAAAGGAAGTGTCCAAGGAAGTCTGGACAGATGTTCTCCAGGGAGATGGGTGATACAGCGAACTTGTTCGCTGGCGTGGCTTGGTGTCAGATCAAGTGTTGTAAAGTCAAAACTGACGTCATAAAGTTGAAATGGTGACAATTTATAAACGGTGTAAGTGCGAAACCTTGTAACTCGAAACATTGTAAGTTGAGGACTGCCTGTAAATGGGAAATATTACTCAGCCCCCCTTTAGTCCCTGTCAAATTCCAGTTCAGTGCGAGTGAGAACTGGGTCATCCAGGCTGACGCCTTTCTGTATTTCGAGGCAAGTCGTCATAAGAAAGCGCTGACAGCCAACCCAAAAGTCAGTTAAGACTCCCTGGGAGTGACTTGGGTTTCGTACATGCTTCATCAATGAGCTGCCTCCAGAGTTATAGTACACTTTGAACACCTTTACTATTATCTGTCGTACATCTTACAAGGGTTGAAATTATGGTACAAATATAATTGTCGTAGGTGTGGCAACGCTGCACCATATGGAAGAGAAGGGGCTGGTCTAGACTTTCCAGAGGCAAGCCCGCTGAAGACAGCAAGGAGGATGAGGATGAATCCAAGGATGAGTGAAAGGCCTGGAGAACCAGGCAGGGAACGGGAAAGGACCGAGGTGATTGGGACTGTGCGGGTGCGTGGAGTACGAAGGGTGTAACTGTAGATGTGTTTTGGACTGTCCAGCAAGCCCGAGCGGTCGCGGGAGAAGCTGTCGCTGTCGGAGGTGCTGTTATACATGGGTATCTATGAATAAATACATTTGCACCGCCCACTGGCTCTGCCCTGCTCCAGCCCGATCCCCGCCAGCGCCTCGCCCTCCGCTACCTTCGCCCGGGACGCGCTCAAGACACCGCGCTGCGCCTGCGCCTTTAAGACCGCCCCTCCCCCCCCCGGCAGCGCCGCCCGAGCCAAGCGTGTTACATCATGTTCCCTGCCGACGCCCCGCCCACCAGGGTGGAGCCATGCAAATCACTTCCGCTGGCTGCGCCCCGGGGACAGGGAGCGGGAGCGGGAGTGCGTGCGGGTCCCCCAGGCGCGGGGCAGGCGCGGTCCGGCCGCGGCAGGCGCGTGCGGAGTGCGGTGGCTCCTGGGGTGGGGCTGCAGCGGGGTGCTATCCCGGGCTCACTGTCTTCTTGGCGTTTGGGGGCAGCCCCTGCCCTGGCATCGCCCCGGGGTTTTGGTCGGGGTTGCTGTGGCATTGGGACTGCGTTTTGATTTTGGTTTTCTTCTATTTCAGGCCCAGTGAGGGCTGTACTAAGCCTGAGCACCAGCGAATTCCTGCAGCTGTGGAGAGCAGAGGCTAACCTTTCCCTTCTTGTATGTAGACTATTTGAGTGCCCATTAAAGCCTCACATAAAAAGTTGTGATGCACAGTAAAGTAGTTTGCTGTGCATGTGGCATCACGAAAAAAGCATGTGAATGTGCTATGGGGCATTAGTGCAGCCAGTTTAGTGCCTCATGACTTTTATTCTTAGTACTAAATGTAATGCACATTAGAAAAGGCGCATTTGTGTGCATGCAGACAGGCCCTGTGTGTAGCAGGCTGAAACCCAGTTGCCTTCATGCCATTTCCCACTGTGGCATTTGGGAGTTGTTTCCTTTCACTCTGGTGCAAACACAGATGGAGGAGCAGAGGAGAAATGCTGCGACAGATCAGACACAGGACAGGGCAGCCAGGGAAAGGGTGACAAGGGGAGGAGATGGAGCCCCAGTTCCTGACGCTGCCCAAAGCAGAGTCTGGGGTGGGGCCTGTCCCCATGGCTCTGGCAGTGCCCGGTATCTTGCATCCATCTGCTGCAAGCAGTGCAGGGGGAGCTGGTCAGAAACATCCAGCCTGGAGCTCATTAAACCACCAAGCCTGGGACCACCTAGGTGGAGCGACAGGGTTCAAAGGGAAAGGCAGGTGAAGTGGGGGTGGGATGGGGAAGGTCATGAAAGGTGGGGAAAGCCTGAGCTGGTGACTTAACAGGACTAAAGTGCAGCAGTCACAAGGCCAGGAGATTGCTTCAGATGTTCCGGGGTTGCCTTGACCCTCTCTAAGGAGAGGTAATAGCACAGTGGCTTTATCAGGGGAGTGGTACAGGAAGCTCTTGGGAGACCAGGCAGACCAATGCTTGAAGACCTAATTGCTCCATCTGCCTGCAGTGCCTTTAACGCCCTTGAGGAGACATGGCTGCTTAGTCACTGAGGCATTTCAAGCATGAGGCTTACACTACTAGACCTTCCCCTCTGGCCCTCAGCCAAGCCAAAGAAACGCAGAGAAAACAAACAGAGGTAATTCCCTGCCTATTAACAGCAAAGAATGGCCTCTGATTTTGCACCTCTCATTTCAGCTCTAGTCTCCCCTGCGGGAGCCAACATACTGAGAATGACAGGAAACAGGCTCCTGGGGGTGGGGGGAGCAACTTTGGGAAATGGGGTCAATGATCTCTAGGGTGTGGCTTTCAGAGGGACAGGGCATCTCCTCCCCAGCTGAAATCAGGGGAGCTATAGTTGCTCTGGTCCTCTGGAAGTTGGGTTCAACATCTGTGTTTCCCAGGGAGGGATGAGATGGTTGCTCTTAATTGTCAATTCTGGCAAATGCTGTGACCCCGCTGGGACTGCCCCTTCTGAGGTCTCACTTGGTTTCTTAATTAGCTGTGCCATAGAAATCCTTGTGGCTGTGGCCTTAGAACCATGGTTCTCATCCTTGTTAGACTCAAGGCACCCCTCAAAAATGCTAGCTCCTTCCTTCCTTCCAACTACAGAAAAATAATAGAGCAATTCTTCTATTGCAAATAACTCAGAATGACCACAACAGGGCAGGATGTTTTTGATACCATGGATTCTTTGTGACCCATGTGTAAGTGTTGGGGAGGCAAGATTCTTTGGGTAGAGGTGATATCTTTTATTAGACCAACTAAAATAGTTTGAAAAAAATTCTTTGCAAGGTTTCAGGGACAAACACCCTTCTTAGGCATAGGAGACTGCTGCGGTTATGAGTTCTCCAAGGTAGAGAAGATGCTCAAGTGTAACAAGAAGTCTGTGAAAATGTAAATAGTTGGAAGTTTGGAAGACAATGGGTAGAGATGGCGGGGGAAAGGGTGGAGAGCTGTGTGAAGGAATGTAAGGGGTTAGCTTCAGGCAGGTTACCTGGTGAATTAGATGTCAGGTAGATTATAATGTGTAATAAATCCAACATTCATATTAAGTCTATGATTTTTTTTCTATCCAGTAGATTTATGAAGTGAGGTTCATGGGCTCATCTACAAAAGGTGTTTTGTACATTCCCTTTGAAGATTAGAGTTGAGAGATTGGAGAGGGAGTGATTGTCTTGTGAGAAGTGGGCACTTGCAGGTAGTTGGATATTTTTGTCTTTTAATGGATTTGTGGTGTGCGTTCATTATTGTGCACAGGTGTTGTTCAGTTTCTCCTACATACTTTCCATCAGGGCATTTGGTGCACTGGAGATATATTACATTTCTGGAGGTGCAGGTAGTGCTAATATTGAGCAGCACCCCTTAAAGGATCTTGTGGCCTCCCTGGTTGAGAATTGCTGCTATAGAGCAACGACCTTACCCTGCCTTATCCTACTGGAGTGAGGGATTATTTGTGCTTTCCAGGAGGTGTTTTTGTTGTATGCCATGGCTGTAGTTCTGCCCCTCGGACCACTGTATTAACAAAATCCTTTCTATCTGGGACCACTACCTTCCTCAAGCTGTTCTGTTAGAGCAGAAAAATGGCTCTTAGTTGAACTTGCTACTGCCTCATCTGTCCAAATGGCCAATCCTGCACACTGAGAAATGTGAAGGGACTTTGATGTATGGGTACAGGACTGAAGGGAGACTTGGGGCCATTGAGTACAGTCTTCTGCACCTGCAGGTAATTGTTAACCAAGGGATCCTCAAGATTGCTACTTCATACCTTCACATACAACTACAAGGCACAATTCCTGAAACACCACCAACAACCTAGAATGTGCCATGGGTAAAAGCAGGGGAGAGAAGAGCACTAAATTACCCTTTGGGAGATGCTCCTTAAAAACTCTAGTTGGACTGTGAATAGTTAGCCTGACTTGAAACAGCACTTCAGAATCCTGTTAGTTCATTCCTATCTATTTAATGGTCCCTGTAAGGAATACAAAGCCTGGTAATTCTGTCTGAAAGGTACTGCTTTTGCATGTGGAGATACAGGAGAAGTGTCTTTTTCAAATCATGCTTTATTACTGTCTTTTTGCCTTTTAACAAAAGGCTTTTCTAGTCTGGACATGGCTTTTGGATGTTTATACATATGTTCCAGGAGGCGGGGTGGGGGGCACTTTAATTAAAGGCAACTCTGAGAGCTGCTCTAATTAAAGCACCCAGAGCATCTTGTGTATCAGCATTCCCACACTGAAAAATGGTGGTGGGGGTGCTTTAACTAAAGCTTGTCAAATGAGCTGTAGTTAAAGTGCCACTGACACCATTTTTCAACACGGACATGCTGATACACGTGACAGGAGTCTGTTGGAGCACTGTAATTAACACGCTCCAGCAGCCTTAGTGCACATGTATAGGAGCCCTTTCTGAGTTAGATTCTCTTCTGCTTCCTGTATAGCCAATGGCAACTATCTTCACTAAGTCTAACATGCTTCCAAATAGCTATGACAGTAGCACTTTCACTCATGTGACATTTCTCTACTCCCCTACACTGGGTACTTGGCACTTGTTGATTGTTATTGGAGTGAGCTGAGGAATGGTAAGATTTATAGCCCAGGGCATAACTAGATGCCTTGGCATATTTACATCTATTTTCATGCAATGTGTGCACTTGCTATGGTAACACTGTGACCTGTGACACTCCTGTATTAGACATAAATCCTGACTAGGGATTGTATTTGGACTGTAAAATGCAACCTTCTGCTTCTGGTACTTGTAACTCAAATCAACCATCTGGGCCTGATTTCTCAAAGGCCAAATACAAAAATTGTTGGGAACTTTTCCCAGAGGCATGCAGCCATTCATGTGTCTGCTCTGTCCGTTACTGTCACGGGGCCACTTGGGTGCCCCGTTCCTGAGTAAGGATTAGAGCAGCTGCCAATCACCAGGGCAGCTCAGCTGTGGATTGTGGGATTAACTAGGTCGGCCATGTGACTGGAAGGGGGCAGGGCTGGGCCCTTATAA